TTTATAGTTGTAAAAGCTAATTACTTTATATACAGTGTATATTGTCTGAGTTTAAGGAATTGCATGCAAGCATATTCGTACCTAATCACAAAGTATTCTGGTGCTTGTAATAGAACTCATTAAAAATAATGTTGGTTATTCTAGGATACAGTGCAGTAAGCTTGTTTCTTAACCATTAAGCAACAATAAAGATTTATGTGCTGTCCTTTACAGTTCTGCTAGTAGTAATAAAATAATACTAATTTATTTACATACAAAGGTATTTATTTTATTTAAAAATACAAGCCAGGCTTTTAATGTTACATGGCATCCTCTTTAAAAAGGCCTAATTAAAACAAACACTGCATTAGACAGCTAAAGCTTTACAAGAAATTTTGTTTCTTCACAAAATCAAGGATTCTTGCCTAACTCTTGTCCACTCAGAACTTCAGTACAGGATCAAACACTTCTGAAAATCCTCTTCCCCCCAGAGCAATACCTCTGAAATCTCAAGTTTCAATCATGTCATCAGAAGGTATTCTTATAAAGGGAAGTTTTCAAGAACGGAGAAGGTGAGTGAGAAAAAAATAACTGATTTTTCTGATAGTGGATTCAGGCACATTAAAATCTATGAGCAAACTGAGTCTTTCTGTTGATCAGATTACAAGGGCAATATTTTGCAGCTTGTATGTGTGGACTTTGGGTTCAGCAATTTACCATTGCACCTGAAATATACTACTAATAGTTTTTAAAGTTAAATTGCACAGTCCTTATGCAGACAAATTTCCCATAGGAACTGTGTTTACATAAAGAGTGTAGGATTTTGTGCATAACTCCTTGTAAATGTGATTACCATTAACTCCTAGAACTGAACCAACAGTGTTTGTTACCTTTAATTACACGTGGTAAATATAATTTTGAATTCAGACTTTATGTTAAAGCTCAAGGTCCTTAGCAGTGATATTTTGCCATCTAAAGGATGAAGTAAAAGTAACTACTCAGGCCACCTGTTGTTTAGGAAAGACGATACAATAATAACGTTTTTCTTTCCTGGTTAAAGAAAATGATGACTGAGGAAGCTGCTCTGCCAGCCTAATTAAACCAATACAGATTTTGTCAGCTTGCTTCCGCCTGCTTCCATAAGGAACTGCTTGCTGGGTGGGTATTGAAGTTCCTCTCTGATAACAAAGCTGTCTAAAAACTGCATCACAGGACTTGTGGAGAAAAGGCAGGCGTTATATCCTACACTGACACAACACACTTGTATTTACAGTTGTGCTCAAATATGTGAGAATGCATGTGTATAAATGCTGTAAAATCTATGGAAAAATCTTTGAAAGTATCTGTAAATGAAAATATCTTGAAATTACTAGATCATGTGCCAGTAGTTGAATTACCTCCACTAAGCTGAAACTTATGTATCCTGTGTCACTTGATGATCTGCAGGACATCCAAGTTTGGCTTAATGAAACTAATTTTAAGGTTTGCTAGTAATGTCATTCTAATCTAGACTATGTTAGCTGGAATTCTTTCTGGTTCATGATTATTTTTAAGTCCCAAATGTAAGGTTAATGGGGTGTTCGCAGAGTAGTCTCAGAAAAAGAGAGAACAAGAAAATCTCAGCAAGATGACTCTAGAACAAAATTGTTGTAACTCATAGTTTCCAGTATATTCTCATTTATGCTAGGATTGTTGCTGGAGCTAATGAGGCTTGAGAACAGTTAGCACTGTCAAATCACAATGGAGTCCAGAGACTTTCAGTAAAACCTTTCTCTAACAGCTGTGAAAGCTGAAGACTTGTCATACTAAGAGGAACAATGATTCCACACAACATATTACTATATATATATGTATGCTATAGCACTACAACCACATATTAAATCTTCTAGAATGAATTGGAATATTTTGAACATTGCTCAGAAAAAAAAGAAATATTTTTTAGTACTCATAGAAAAGATAATACCTACAGAATATACTATCTATTCTGACAAGACAATGGGAAACAGAACTGTCAATTCATTGTGTGCTTCCTCCAAGTAAAGCTACAGTGATAACCAGAGGATATTTTAGTTAAACAGCTGAATCACCTATTGCTCTCTTCAGTGGAGCAGAAGACTAGGATTTAAGGCACACTAGTCTGCATGCTACTGTTTTGACCCTACTGAGTGATGATTCTGTTTCGGACACATACTGTGAGTTTTCTGCAGCAATGAGAGGAGATTTATCAGAAGATGATTTTCTCAGAATCAAAGTGATGATTTAAAAAAATGTTAATCATGTTGAATTCCATTTAGTTCATTTAGGTTTTTAGTTCAGATGGAGTCAGTGTGGAATTTAGTTGTTAACTCAGAAAGCTTAACACAATGAATGGATGTTTGTGGAGAAATACAAGTGTGTACATTTTTTTGGGTCTTTGTCCTTGAAAGTTACATGCAGCTCAGTAGGAAATCTGGGTGCAGCAGCTACCAGGATCAAACTCACCGCTGTATGATAGTTGTTCAAAACACGTGGTATGCTTCAGTATGGAATATTTAAACAAAACAGTTCTAGCTTGTGGCTGTTGCTACACAAACTGTATGCAGATAAGTCACAAATAGCTGAGCATATGTGTGGTGCAAGGTTAAAACAATAACAAGCAGGTCGAATCATTCAAACACTGGAAATCACTTGACTCCAGGCCAAAAGCTTAGCTTGAGATTATATCAGTATGGGATAGAAAGAGGATAAACTAACAGGCTTAGCAGCCAGCTTGTTGGAGTCAGCATATAGTATCTATACTTCCAGCAGGAGAGCAGATGGCCATATATTTAAGGAAGCACCAGACAGGGAGTCAGGAGATCTGAATTCTATTCCTGGCTCTGCAGCAGTGCTCCTATGTCACCTTGGGGAGCCACTTTTCCCCTGTTTTTCTTAATCTTTTAAGTAGTGGAAATAATATTTGCTTCTCTAAGAGGGCAGTTAAGAGGCTAAACTGATGCTGAATAAAACACTCTGAAGTTCTGAGAAGAATATATGGAAGCAGTGCAAAGTAAACTTTTTTGGAAGAAAGGACATCACACGATTTCGTATGGCATATTTGTGCCACATGTTTATGACCTTTCCTCCCCCCAGAAAGTCGCATGCCTTTTTGTGCACAGTTTTCAAGGAGGGAATAAATGGATTAAGCTGCCTTCCACATTTGCTAGAAAGATAAGCAGCTGCCAGTAAGAACCTGACCAAAGAACAGACTTTACTACTGAGAGAGACGTTATTTATGCTCAAGAGGGCAATAGGCTTGTTGAAGTTAACTGCTCACCCCAAAATACTATTTTGCATTGGTGGCAGAATAATGTCTCTAATGGCCTTTATTCTGAATTCAGCAGTGCTGCTTGCAAGCTGAACATAAGTACAAAATTAAGTATTGTCTTTTATGAACAAATCTTCTGCTGAAATCCCAAAACAAGTCCATTTCTTAAATCAGAGAAATGTCCATGATTATTTGCACTGTACTTTCATTTAAAGGCTATTAAAATCAACTAGATTTCAAAGGAATCTGAATCAAAGACTTAGCAAGCAACTGTCATTTCTCCTGAGTTCTATTCCCATTAAGCAAAATGACCTTATCTATCTTCATTACTATTTGGCATCATAGGAGTAATATTTTCACTACAGAATAAACAGCTTCTGCTTTTGATGTTGAAGGTGTAAGCTTTGGTCTGGAGTTCAATTTTAGTTCTTATCATTATTTGCTCCATTTCTCTTTATGCCTCCATTTTTCTTGTTACTAGATTATGAGCACCTGTTAAGGAACTGAACCCCATTTCAAAGCCAGGTCTGTTAAAAGGGCACAGACAACACTGTGAAGTCTTAAAAACATTAGTCCACCTCACAGCAGTGGACAAAGGAAACAAAAACAAAGATTATCTGAGCAGGTGTCCTGAGTGTCAATATGATCTTCCAACATGAGTTTGTTTTTCTGATTCCTCACAAATGAAGCTGTCTCTAATCCCATAAACTGGACTTCTTTCAGCTTTTCTATTAGTCATTGTGGATTGGGAATCTAGATGGAGGGAAATATTCAGCATTTTCAGGTTCAGGCTTTTGAGCAGGTTATAGTGTGTTGCAATAAAATGGGAAGGGTCTGGTGTGGTTTATGAAGAATATATTCTCTTGCCTGCAGCCTGGTTTTGTGAGAACACACTTTTGAGTGTGCCCCTCTTTTACACTGGGGCAGTTCTGCTGCCTGTTTCCTTGATAACAGCCTTATTAGAAATGTAAGAGGACTTCATTCTTTGATAAATCATATCCATTGCATGTGTACACAAACAAACAGACTTACTGGACTCTGTTCACCCAAAATCCATGTGGTTTTCTTCATTAAATCACCATGAGATAGCTTTAATCCAAGAGAGATGAGTGAAACAATTCCTTTCTGAAGAACTGGGTTGTATGTTTAACTGTAGTCTAAAAAAGTTTACTCTTGATATATGAACTTAACAAGAAATTAAATATTTCAGATAGTAACCAGCTCACTGTTTTAAGTATATAACACAGAGACACTCTTTATGACAGTGTAGAGTTGTTAGTCTCTGGCCAGAGACTGATCTGGTCCAAATGAAAGTGGTTTAGATGAGAGACTGATGTTCCCATCTTTCCCTTTTACAGGAGTGTTGGCTATTCTTTTATGTCCTCTTTTTAGTTAGGCAAGTGACAGAATTGCAGTTAAAAGGTCAAAGAATTGTTCCATAAAGACATAAACACAAGCAGAAAGAGAGTAAGGATGGAGCTTTTTTCACCACTGTTCTTTTGTTCTTGCCCATCCTCATGATTTTTATAAACTGATCTTCACTAGTTGACATGGACCTTGCACTACCAATTTTGTCACATAACATTTTCAAAGATGGAAAGCTGACATAAAGAAAAATCTTCTTACTTCTTAGAAAAAGTGATTCAGTGAGAATGTTGCTAATTATGTTATGTGATGTTATGTTATGGTATGGAAGAGAGCTTTAAGAATTGAAAAAAAGTAGAACTATTTACAAATGAAGTTAATGATTCAACAAGGGCAGATTTCTTCCTGGATAAGTCTAGTTATATATTATAATTGTACAAATCAAGTGTTCAGTTCAGATCTATCCTCCTCCTCTCTAGTCCTGCACTGTCGGTGCTTTGCACAAAGATGTGGCTTTCTCTTGGGATCGTCTTTTCTCTGGGGATGCTAATTCCTGGAAAACTCAGCTTGAAATTGCAGTATGACAGGTGAGTGTGAATGTGGTATCGTGAAGAATTGTGCATGCAGTGAAATTCCCAGGAACTGTGAAAGAATAATAACAATTATGAGCTGAAAACCTGGAGACAGGGTTACTAAGCTGTAAGCTTTGTAAGATTTGCGAACAAAACATAAAGACGAGAAATGAAGAATGAGTGAATCAAATCCAAGCCAATGAAGATACAGCTGCAGCAGTAGGAGCCACAGAATGGCCCTCAAATGCACCTCAGGATGCTCTGCTTCCATTAGCTGAAATTCATTTGGCTTAGCCTCTTTCATAATGAACTTTGAAATCAGATGTTCTAGGACTAAAATGTCTTTTCTGTGTATAAAGCAAGGGAGATGACTGAGCAAAATTATATCTATTAATAAAAGACAGCTTAGGTTACCTGAAAAAGATAGTGAAGCCCTGTTGGAAACCTGTAACAATTGCCAAAAAATGCTAAGGAAGTTGTTCCAGACAATCTTTCATCACTCAAAGAATGAGATTATCACGTTTTTTATTACTGATTAATGTTTCTGAAAAGCATGAAATCTCTAGTTTTGCTGTATTTTCCATTCTCAGTTCCACTTCTTTGGAAAATGAGTGATGTAAAATCATGCTGTTTGCCTAAACTATTTTTGTTTCATTCATCTTCAGCTTCCAAGGAATGATAGGTCACTCTGCCATTGTGGCAGCTGGGATTTTCAGGAGGGACACGAGCACAGTGTGGAGACCACCATCCATGTATAAGTTTATACAGGGAATTTTCTAAAGTAAACAGAGAAAGTAGTCCAGTGCTGAATGCCTCTAGACTAATTATATCCCCAGAATATAGTCATAAAAAGGACAGAAAACCAAGCAATACCTCTGGCAAGTAAGTTAGTTCAACATATAACCATTCAACAGCTCTCCTGGAAAATCTTCTAGCAGAACATAAAGAGTCAGTATTTAAAATGTGTTATTTCCCCTGGATAATATTTAGCTTTAGATTTGTATTAGGGATGCAGTCAGAGCCTGTTGATTTCAGTGAATAGAATTCAGCAGATCCTTGGTAATGCAGTGTTCATTTTTGTTCCTAATTACTGTCCAGGACTGAACCTGTTGAGTACTTGCATGGAATTTAAAAATAAATATCGTGTGGTCATTGTGACTTTGGATGGGCAGCACTTGCATAAAGATGAAATTATTAGTAAAGCCATTTTCACTGTTATTTGTTCTGTTCAACACCTTAAATGAAATATCTGACCTATGAGAATCCAAGGAAACACAGCTAGTCCTGAGAACAGCCCTTTAATTTGGTAAGAAAGTTTAAATAGCATTTTAAAAACTGTAGTTCCCATGTGGTCACATGGGCTGACTTTGCACTTCTCCACTGAGAAACTTAGTCCATAATCATAAACGAATGTGTGCTTTGTAATCTTAGTTTACTATTAAAAATGATTTGTCTCCACACTGGCTATTGTGAAAGGTTTATCAGTAAATAAGAGCTGGCCATCTGGCAGCAATCTGACTGTCTGGAATTTCTCTGATTTGGTGTAATTAAGACATAATGTCAATGAGGATAGAAAGATATTACAGGATATTGTTTCCCTTCCTGATAGACAAAGAGCAAAGCAAGCCCAGGCATTTAGAGAGAATAAACTCTGAACTGCAGCTGAGATGTTTATTCTGCTAGCAAAGATGTTTATCCTACATCTACAAGGTTTATTACAAAGATATCATGGCTGTTGTACCAATCACTAGCAATGGACATGTAATCATTTTGCCCCACAGACAAGGGATTAACAGCATCTCCCAAACCAGTAGTAAATGGCCCATTTTAACCACCAAGTTCTCTATCAGCAAAGGTTATATTTTCAGGAAAGATGTAAAAAATCAAAAATCCCCCTATTTCTCTGGGGATAAAGTGAATGAATAGTGAATTCTATTTGCATGCCTATTAAGCTGGTAATTGTACATTTCTGTATGGAAGCACAAATGATGGCAGTTGTAGTTCAGGTGATGAGAGCATATTGAGGACTGTAATGACCATGGCTTTTGCAACATGAACTTCTCTTACAAAGTCTTTAAAATGTTCTTTTTTTTGGTACTTGTCCTGTAAAGGCCCCAAGGTCCATTAAAGCCATTACATGAGACTGTGAAGCAGTAGTTGTTGGTTGCTAACAAATAGGAAAATTTCTAGGATTCCCCATTCTATCACAACAGTAGTGAATAAGTGCTATCTCACCTTTGAGTAATGCAATGTAGTAATCAACATCCACTCCTCACTCTGAAACCCTTTCATTAGAGATGTCACACTTGCTATCAGCCAGGAAAACCAATCTGAACAAACACTGAGAAAAAAGAATAGAAAAATAATTACTAGGACTTTTTAAATACAGCATACAGATTTCTTATTTTCTGCATTTCCAACCATTTTGATTTGTTCCTCATAAACTTCCAATATTTTTGTCAGATTAAGCCTGTGGTAAATGAAAGGTTCATGGGGCTTCATGAAAATAGGTACTAAGACACTGGATCTGTGTGTCTTTTCTAGAAATATAAAATGATGGATCCTGTACCAGAAATTTTTGTTTCCTGTGAATTGAGTAAGAATATGCAGTTCTGGAGACTACAGTATTCACTATTTGTGGAATAAGTTGGCTATTTTTGTGACAAGCAGTTTGTGGACATTTCAGGTTCTAAGCAATTTTCATTTATCTTGACTATCTTATGTTTTTGCATGCTGAAAGAGATCAGCCAAGCATCAAGTCAATCTGGCATGACTGAACAAATCCCAATGAGAGGAAATAGAGAAGTGACATCTAATCAAATAAATAGTTTATCATATATTACCAATGCTCTCATTTTGGCCCTGGTCCTGCAAAGGCAGAAACACGCACCAGGACTCATGTGAGCAGCTGGCTTGATGAATAAAGGATTGCCACCAGCAAGGAAGCAGAGTGGCTAATGCTCTAGCAACAGAAAACTCACATCACTTAGTCCTATTTGCAGCTAAAACACTCCAGGAATTCATCACTCAGACACATTTTTGTTGAAACAACACTCAGTTACATGCTCTATATTCCCTCTGAGTAACAAAATATCTCCTTTTGACTTATGAAAACATGGATGCTTCAACAGACATTAAAATTGATCTTGTTTCTTCGTTGAATTTCCAGGGATCAGGTTTTGCATATTGTGCCAGAAACATTTCAGCAAGTCCAGCATCTTCAGCTTCTTCACAGTACTTTACTGGTGAGTAAGAATAACCACATGTGCCTGAAAAGCAGAGTAGGGTCTTGGGCTGTAAAACAGGTGTGCATGTAGCTTTGGACATGAGTGAAGGTTACAGTAAACTTGAAAAAGCTTTACCTAACTTTTTTTTGGTCTTAGTGTAGGATAAAATTAGTCTTCTACTACATGAAGGAATTTATGTGAAGAAGTTAGTTTCCTGTGAAGGTGCTGCTCTCTATCAGTGGTGCCTGAGTCAACAGAAACACTAAGCCTGTGCTGCGTGCTCTATGAACAGATGACGGGAGAGTTACGAGGAGAAGGAAAACTTGTCATTTATTGATATGCAGCTACTCTATCTTAAATACATTTTCTTACTCTGAAAACAGAGCTTCACTTCTGCATTTCTTTCTTCTCTCTGCACAGCTGGATTTGTGGAAGCCCTTGATGCCTGAATATATCACGGCTGGAGAAGACCTGCACATAAGGGTCCCAGCCCCTCTGGTGCAGGAGGTGAAAGACAGCTTAGATCAGCATATGATCTCTTACAGGTACAGCCTCTAATATCCTGATGGGAAAGGTGGGCTCTAGCAGTCTTCCTTGCCATCACAAAAAGACCCAGCCTTTTCCAATAAACAGTCAGCAAGTACTGGCAATAGAACCCAAACTTTGTTCCAAATACCTGCAACTTACCTTGACCACCCAAATGCACTGATGCTATATAAACCTTCAAGTTTTAAAAGCACATTTCCCTATGCCCTATTTATTCACCTTCCAACTATCCTGGACTGTGAATTTGGAGCTGGGACCTGAGATGGCCCAATTTGTCTTGTTTCCTGCTGTTGCCTTCTCAGTGGCAGAGATGGCACTTAGATGTATGACTTAGTCTTTTAGTCTAAAGTCAGGAAGTCAAACTTGGTACAACGACTATTTATAGGAGCATGCTTTGCTCTTGAAAACATAGATATTTGAACGCTCTCCTATTTTGGAGACCCCAAAGATTTAATCAGTGTCACTGCAGAGAAGTTTCTAGCTCTCTCTTTTTCCCCTCCCTGTCTTTTGTTGCTCCTCTGGTTTGGAGAAGAGCCCTTTCAAAGTGAATAGTCATCCAGTTTCTTCAAGGCTGCAGTTTCCTACCCCTGTCCCCACCACTAGGCTGGTAAGAATTTCCTGGCACCATCCAGCCAGAGACATCCCATCCTGGGACAAAGATCCCAGTGGCAGATGCCCACTGTGCACACAACTGAGAGCCATGACCTGCAAATGGCCCGTGATGCTTTATCACACCTACCCAGCCATGTGTTGCTGTGCTTCTACTTCCAACCAGAAGACCTAATCCAGATACAAAGAGTGTTTATAAAGCCAAATGGGATTAAATAAGATCTATTCCTCACACAGTCCTGTTCCCATTTAGAACTGACTCTTTCAGGTAACCAGTAGCTAATTTAATTTAGCTATATTTAATATAAACAATCCTGAAGTCATTCAGGGCTGATGACAAATGGCCTATAGACATACACTGGCATTTACCAATCAAAGATAAGTTTGAGGATTGGTGCCACTTCAAAGCTGTTTTGAGTTAAAGCTGATCTTGACATCTTGCATCTTGCCTGATGAGTTCTTTTAGTAAGTGTGATGTCCTGACGACCAGAGATGAAGATATATGAGGTTGGAGCCAGTGCAAATGATCTAGCATCAGGTTTAGGTATTCAGGACAATATTCCAGAAGATATTTAACATGTTATTTTGTGTCAAGACTCTTCATTTTCTAATGTTTTCAACTGATTCTAGTCAAAAATTAAAGAGTAAACTGAAGTTAGCAGCTTAACTTTGTTTTCCCTTGGGTTGGGGCCAGAACTTTATCCACCTTACACAGGGCTCTAGAGAAAGAGATGAGATCAATAGTCAAGCTGAAATTGCAAAGGGGTTGAGATGAGTATGACAATGTTAAAGTTCCTATAATATATTCAAAGCAGGAACCACCTTTTAGAAGGCAGCTGACATGCCAAGAAGGTAACATGACAGTCAGGTATATAATGATAGAGACATAAATGGCAAATTATAATCAGGACATCAATATTCTGACTGTGTCAGACTCTGGGATTTCAATTCTCCAGAGCACTGATAAGGTATTTTGTGTGTGTGGGTTCAGTTCATGGGAATTTGCCCTTCCTGAATTTTAGTTTGAAGTTTAGATGTGAATAAACATCAAAGCTCAGAGTGAAAGTCAGCTGTAACTACTCTTAAAAATTTCTTACGTGCAGTTTACAGAAATGCCGATCACAGCTACTGTCAGCAGAAAAGCCCATTAGCACTTGCAGCATCTGAGATCAACAGTGTTTGAGCTACCTTTGCAATTGTCTTATCACAAGTATTTACAATGAGCACAGATTTACAGCAAGGGGCTGATTGCAGTGAGAAGGAACAGCCTGTGATCCAAAGTCCTCTGAAGCCAAGGAAATGATTTTATTGACTCCCTTGATCATGGAATCACACCTGTGTTATACTAATTACTGAGCAAATTTTGTAGCTAAAAAGCAAAAAGAGCTACTTGAAGGAAATAAGGGGTTTGTTCTGATTTTGGCCAATTGCAATGAACACATCTTGAAGTCTTTGCAAATTGAAAATGTCTTAATAAAATGCAATGAAACACTAATCTTAAATTTATCTTTCCCTTCTTTTTCCCAAAAGGTGGTATTTTCAGAGTTTTGCTCAGAAATAGAAGTGGTGAAAAAAACTATTGAACTTTTTACTTTTGGGGGGAGAAAATCAGCAAATTTTTAAAAAATCTTGTAAAAATTATTACATTATTGTTAAAACCCTGTGAAAAATCTCAATATTTTGAACTTTATCTTACGTGAAAGTTACCATAATGCTGATGGTGATGACTTTGCCAGGCAATCCACAACAGAACAGGCTAAATCCTTTCATTTGCTGATGTAATGTACAGTGTAGCCACCATGATAGTTCTGCAGTAACTGCTAGGGATTGTTTTCTGTCTTCCCCTTCCCCTCCCCTCAGGGTCCTAATACCTGATGTACAGGAACTTGTGGATCTGAGCATGCCAAGGGAGAGGAGCAGCCATAAACAGGTCCGAGAAGGTTACGTCTACACCCAGTATCATCCAATGGAAGAGGTAAAGAAGAACCCAAGTCTGCTTGTCTTCTTTGTTAAGTTTTGTAAATGCTACAGCAGGCAACTCTGTGCTTGCAGAAAGCTCAGCTGAAGTCAGTGGACCTCTTTCTGGCTTTCTTCTTTGCAGAATCAGTCCTTACTCTTTGACTAGCATCTTGGTGTGGTTGAATTGAGCATGGATTTGTCATTGATTGTGATTAAATCCTCAGTTCCCCACTGACCAAAACCCAAATGCTCTGCATGAAGCAGCCACACTGTTTTGCAGATGATATTCTGGGGTTCAGTTGATTGGTTTGCTACCTTTCTACCCTGTTATGCTTTATCATTGTCTCTAGCCTTTATTAATTTAAATCCCTGTTTGCTTGATGCTGAGCCAAATGTGAAGTGCAACAACTATTGTGGTGTCTGGAATCCCAGAGAGGAAGAAGAGGTGAACAATGGGAGACCTGTAGAAAGAAATAATTTAAAGGCAGGTTTTTGATAATTTGGGAGAGAATAATGTCATAAGAGTGGGCAGTGAAGATTTTTTGGTATTATGTTTCACAGGCAAGTCAGACAAAAGCAGAGCATAGTGGTATTCTTCCTCCTAGCTGCGTAATAAAAGTGAGAGGACAGAGTCAACCCTCTGGTATATTTTGTTTGAGCTACCTGTTTGGGGTGCGTGCTGCTGAACTCAGATGTGGAAAATCAGTACTGACAGGGAAGAGACTGTAATACTGTTTTGAAAATTTGATGGTGTGGCTTCACATTTGGTGAACTCAACAGGAAGATACCCAATAGGATGGGCATGTTGAATGACATCCAGAGTGGAGTATCCATGCTGTATTGCAGTGAGGTTATCTTTTAACACCCCATGAGATATGACCATGCATGTGAAAGACCTTCCATGAGTATGAGTGACATTATAGATTGAAATAAGCTCTGAGGAAAACGTTGTCTAAACAAAAGCAAATGTTTTAATCTGGAAATGGAGGTGGGAAAGAGAAGGAAACTCCCACTTTGGACAAAGAATTCTCTGTGACTATTTCAGATTTATGAATGGATGACTCAGATCCAGGAGAACTACAGTGAGCTGGTCACTCAGAACTTCCTGGGGATGACATTTGAGAATCGACCAATGTATTATCTACAGGTAAAGGAGGAACTTTCTCTTAATTATAAAAGGAACCTTAACAAGAAAACAAATACACAGAAGACAGGATTTGGATATTTCCCAAGATAGCACTAGATGGTTTTACTCCTTCACAGTACAATAAGATTTGCCAACTTTGATATACCCTATCACCATAAGCTTGCTATTGCTATTATGTAGTGAAAACAACAAATTTAACTAAAATCTTGTTTAGAAATAAAAATCAAGCTGAAACTAGCTTGGCAACAGCTGTGTGAGGATAAAGACTTTTGGTTTGTTATTTTTGTTACTTTTTACAGTATATATCTTTTCTGCTAGGAGTATTCCATGACATTTTTTATTGGGCCCACTAGCAAAAACCATAGTCTTAATATTTGGGTTAGCTATTGTCTAATCTGTCCTTATCACTGCATAAAATTAGATTCCCTGTCTTTTTTTGCTTTCCCTTCGAAAAAAAAATATAATAAAAAAAGGATCTCCAACTAAGAACAACCATTCCTGTGAATGACTAATACAAACGAAAAAGGGGAAAAAAAGAGAAACTGTTCTATTAACTGTTCTATTGACGCTTCTGCTCAACAGACACTTTAAAGCTCATGCCTTGAGATACTACAGAGATGGGGTTATTAGGAAGGAAAGCTTGTCATAATGATGTCTGTAATAATAATAATCTCAGATGGCTCAATGGCATTTCAAGGCACATCCTTTACTTTCTCTATTACATTAAGCTATTTTATTGTAATGTAACAGTTTTTAAATTATTATTTTTACAATCTCTCAGATCAGTCAACCATCAAATAAACCCAAAAAGATAATTTGGATGGACTGTGGGATTCATGCCAGAGAATGGATCTCTCCAGCCTTCTGTCAGTGGTTTGTGAAAGAAGTGAGTTCTCACTTTTCCATTTAGATAATAAAAAAAAATATAACTTTGGATACTTCAGTTCTCTATCATGGTATCAAGAATTATGTTTTTCTGTTCAAACATGATTTTCAAAATTAATACATAGTACAGATATCTGTGGAGACCTAAGTCCAAATCACAGTTTGAGATATGGGGCAAAATTAATTAGTGCATCAATTCCTCCACCTGCACTGTTTCCAAATCCTTCCAAAAATCCTTCCCTCTTTTTTTCCCACAGTGGCTTTTGGATCAAGCCTTTCTGTATCACAAAGTGATAATCCTCCTGAAATAAACCCTAAGCTATGGTCTAGCAATGTTCCATGTGTACAGAAAGTATCTGGCACACAGGTACGCTATTATGCAGTTTTCATACCCACAAGACTGTACCTATATGAAGTACACTCTCACTGGATATCCTGTTACTTTGTTAGTGACAAAAGGTGTTTATCTCAACATACCGGGAGATGAAGTAGATGTTGGATACCATAATGATATCCAGGAGTGAGTGATTCCCTAATAATAGTTCTAAACTAGCTCTTTCCAGTGATCACCACTAAATTATCTGCTCAGTGCTCTGTACTTTTTCTTTTCAGATTCTTCAAAATTACAAATCTGACCCAAAGATTAGAAGATTTCTGCAGCATTTGGATCTCTATGTCTTGCCAGTCCTCAATATTGATGGCTACATCTATTCCTGGAAAACAGTAAGTAGTGAAAATCCAGGAACTAGAATGATAGTGCACAACATGTTTTGTTACTTCTAGATGCTTCAGTACTTTAAGTAATAGCAATTATATTTGAACAGAAAACAGTGACATTACCCACACAAATCCTTTCATGGCAGAGAGGTTTTGTTTCTTCTGGCAAATCAACAGCCACTTGAGATTGCAGAGCTAAAAATTCCTAGCAAATGTCATGAGCATTGGGAAGACAAAACCACAGGATCGATTGCTTTTGAGTTTCTGGGTATCACAGAATCACAGAATGTGTCGAGATGGAAGGGAATCACAAGGATCATTGAATCCAGGTCCTGGACCTGCACAGGGCCATCCCCAACAGTCACACCATGTGCCTGACAGTATCATCCAGACGCTTCTGGAACTCTGTCAGGTTTGGTGCTGTGACCACTTCCTGGGGAGCCTGTTCCAGTGTCCATCTACCCTCTGGGGGAAGAACCTTGTTCTAATATCCAACCTAAACCTTCCCTGACACAATTTCAGGCCATTCCCTTGGGTTCTGTCGCTGGTCATCACAGAGAAGAGATCAGTGCCTGCTCCTCCTCTTCCCCTCACAAGGAAGTTGTAACTGCAATGAGGTCTCCCCTCAATCTCCTCTTCTCCAGGCTGAACAGACCCAGTAACCTCAGCTGCTCCTCATATGGCTTCCCCTCAAGGCCCTTCCCCATCTTCACTGCCCCCCTTTGGACACTGTCTAACAACTTAATATCTTTCCTATATTGTGGTGCCCAAAACTGCCACAATATTCAAGGTGAGGCAGCCCCAGTGCAGAGCAGAGCGGGACAATCCCCTCCCTTGACCGGCTGGTGATGCTTTGCCTGATGCACCCCAGAACATGGTTGGCCCTCCTGGCTGCCAGGGCACTGCTGGCTTATATTCATATATGGATTTAACTTCCTTGATAACAGCTCAAGGCCTGGTTGATGGAGTTAAACATGCCTGGAAGAGTCATTCATTCTTCGCAAAAGATCTCAACTAGCAGATGGGTCTTAGCACCTTTGCATGGGACAGGAGGAGAATTGGTCAAATACTGAGCTATTTGGCTTTAAAATAGGTGTGCCCTGTGTCCTTTTCTGATATAGAGGATAATGCAAAATGTTGGTCTTCAGCCACTCACATCATGCTTCCAAGCTCTTGAGCCCAGTTGAAGCACCTTTTAATGCAGGACCTCAGCATGGCCCAGTGTGGATCCTCAGCCTACCACCATGTGGATCCTGCTGTCTCCCAAGGTCTCCAGTAGGTTTGGGGCATATCACACACTGCACTTGGATGCACAGGTAATTCAGTTGGGAAGCTCATAAAGGCAGCGCAGTGAGCTCTGCACAGAACCGAGTATAGCAGAGAGTATAGTAGGGAAGCAAGGAGCAGTAGCAAGGTTAGCTGACAAAAAAGAATTAATCTTCATGAATCTGAAACAAACAGAAGTTCAGCTATTGTCTCTTATCCCTCACAATGCCAAGTCTTGCTTAGGACTGCAACACGGCGTGGAAGCAGTTGAGTATTACAGAAAGAGAATAATTAAAATAAAAAAAGCTCAGGAAGCTCATTTCAGGGTGCATGCAGGCTTGTGGCAGATGACAGCCTGGCTGTAGTATCACTAAGCTTTATCACCTTTGCACACAGAGTTGTACTTTTACAATGCAAGAGTTACTTAGAATGCAGAGGTCTAAAATAAAGGAGTCTTTACGCCCTATTATTACTGGGCCATGTGGATCATTAAGTTGTTATTATGTAACAGAAGTTACTTTTCTTTAGGATCGTTTGTGGAGGAAAAACCGTTCTCCATATATGAATGGCACCTGCTATGGGACAGATCTGAACCGAAACTTCAATTCATCCTGGGGCAGTAAGTTTTAAGTATTTCAGATCATGAACACAAATGTAAAGCAAGGGTAATAACTAGTTTTGGAAAAAAAAAAAAAAAAGATGAAGTCCTATAAGAAAGGAACACTCATCTAGTTGTTATCAAGACATAGGTAAAAAAAAATTCTGTTTTGTAACAGTGGTAACTCATTGACTTTCAACTGCCATTTATTTTTGTAAGTAGAAAATTGCTGCTTAAGTAGCCATACCTCTAATTCACTGCAAGAGCAAGCATCAGCTCTAGATAGCAATGTTAGGAGTTAGTCACTTAACAGCCACTATTTATGTTTATCATGAATTGCAAGGAGGACCCAAAGCTTCCCTGGCAAGTGGTACACTGTGGTGGTGTCACAGTGTTTTCGTTGCAGCCATCCTGTAAATGTGCATTAAATATTTCAGTCTTGTAGGAAATTTTAGTTGGTACCAACAGAGTAAAATGCTAAAGTCCCACTGAGCTGTCTAGTCTCCCTGCCCACATAAACACATGCTTTAACACTCCAAGGTAAATTTCCCAGTTCCCTCTGAACTGGTGTTTTATGTCTCTCCTTTGATTCAGTTTTTGTATTCCTCTCCAGGTATTGGTGTTTCTTTTGACTGCAGCAGTAATATCTTCTGTGGCTCTGAACCAGAATCAGAACCTGAGACAAGAGCTGTGGCTGAGTTTATCAGGAGGAAGAAGAGTGACATTGCATGCTTTTTAACAATCCACTCCTATGGACAGCTCATCCTCAGTCCATATGGTTCCACAACTAAACCTCCAAGTAACAATGAAGAACTGGTAGGGCAAAACATTCATCTTCTACACTAAGAGAGAACAAGTAGAGGCAGTAGCATGTGGCAAAACCCAACTTGCCCTCTTGCCTTTCCTTCAGAAGAATGGGGCTTATTCAGGGCCTTGGCTCCCAGAGTTACTGATACTCTGTGCAGTATCAGTAAGGTTTATTTGCCTCAGAAATTCCAATTTTTCAACTTAAATCAGGAAAATTGAATTATTACAGATAGGGCTAATGCAATGCAAGGCAAATGGAGAAGAGCAACATTTTTTGCTGCATGAAAGAATGAGTTTGCACTTTAGGATGCCAGCACATTATACACATACGGCTGTCATGATTGTGTCCAGGAAGGGTATTCCAAATGTGCTCTCAGGAGAATGGAAGTAAAGTAAGCACCTACTTCTTGGTTACTTCTCCCCTCAGTTTCTGAGTGTTCTGATTTGAGTTCATTCACATGTGTATTTGTGAAGATTCCAGTAGCTGAAGCTCTAGTCAAGACCATGAGGGATTTGGCTTTGGAGTTCATATGAGTCATTAGAGAAGTCATTTAGTTTGTCTATGGCTCAGTTTCTAAAGATGGTGGGATACAGAGCCTATGGCAATAAAACAAGAGCAAGAGGTCAGTCACTGCTGTAGTCAGTGCCAGTGTGCTATACAGCATGGACTCTTAATTCTCCAAAGTACAGCCCTCTAGCCTCACAACAAAGCAAATAGAATCCCTATCTTGCAGCAGAGTAATTTAAAAAATTTTAACATAATTTGCATTACAAAAATCAAGGAGAATTTGTCCAAATGTTTAGAATGGGTTCCTTTAAAGACCTGAAATAATAATATTAAAACTTAAAGCTGATCATATGTAAATGTAAAGCTGAAAGAGACAAAAATTTTGGTCCACTCAAAATAATTGCCAAAGATACTGCCACCAATGACAATGCTGTCCCTGTTTTGAATTTTCAGATGCAAGTTGGAAAGAAAGCAGCTGCTGCACTGACAGGAAAGTATGGCACCAGCTATAAAGTAGGACCACCCTCTTTAATTTTATGTAAGTTTCTTTACCTTTCCCTTTGATTGCTCTATTTTTCAAAGAACAGAGTCATTCTTGTGTCACAGGCATCAGCAAGTACTGTTTTGCTGAGTTTCCTCTTGAGTAATACTTAAAGGGCTGGTTTGGTGGAACATCTAAGCAGCAGTCATTTGAATACAAGGTAACTCTCTAAGTTATAAAGCTATCTGCAGGAAGGAAGGAAGCATTGATCAGAGAAGCAAGTTCCTACATGGATTCCTTACAGATACATCACAGGGGACAGAAGGAGATTGGCTATAGATCATCCTGACCCTGCTGAAGTCAGCAGCAAAACTCCTATTTGTCTTCCCCGAAATCAAGAAAAAATTAAAAGCCCAGTCAGGGCTGTAGTTACTCCATCAGACATTATCACGTGGCAGCTGCTTGCAATTCTGTGTGAAATATATCAGTTTCAGCCTTGTTCCTAATAGACTGGATAGCCACATCACAAACACAACATCACAGCTGATACTAGTTGACAGCCTTTACAAAGAGGACTAGAGAGCCCTAGAGGCTGCCTGGTAAATTCAGTATTTTCCCAGCAAGCAAGAACAGTAAGTAGTTGGCTCCAGAATCCATATGGTTTGCATATTCCAGTGTCTGTCCCTCCCAGTCTTGGAGTGCCAGTCTCTGAGTCACCTACTGCATGAGCAATGCAGTGTAAAGTAACTTGCCCCTGCCTAGGGCTGTATTTTGTCAGGGTTTTTACTTATACTGAATAGGTAAGAAAAAAGATCCGTGAGTAAGATGAACAGTGATACAGGAAGCAGCCAGAAATTTTTCAGATTTGACCAATATCATTCTTAAAAACAACAATAAATAGAAAATCCAATCAGTATCAATGTAAGAAATGAAGTACCAGAACAGACAAATGGCCAATCCACCTTGTACCCCATACACAGCAAAATGCTAAAAACACAGAATCCCTGAAACTCATCTCCTGTTACTGAACAATACCATCTTATGAAGAACTGTGACTTAGGAAACTCCATGGAAGATTTTTAGTATAATTAAGAATTGCAGCACCTAGAAACTCTGTTTTCCATGTCACAGTGATATATGCTTACTGCTTAGTCCAGGAATTCTAATATAAACTTACATTAACCGTAGCAAGAAGTATTTTTTAAAGAACTGTGCTTAATACAAATATCTCCCCTCTTTTTTTTTTTTTTTAAATTCACAGACAATAACTCAGGCTCCTCACGGGACTGGGCCCACATGATTGGTATTCCTCTCTCCTACACATTTGAACTGCGAGACAATGGTACTTATGGATTTCTTCTCCCCGCTGACCAGATCCAGCCCACATGTGAGGAGACTATGTTGGCTGTGACAACTATCATGGACTATGTATATCAGGAGTACTTGCCAGCTGGGGCTGTGGTTCTGACCTGCAGCAGCCTGGCCCTGAGCCTTTGCCTGAGTATTGTACTTACATGGACTGTTTCTTAAAAATGGCTTAGAGAGCCCAGCAAGAGACTCACATATACCCCAAAGTACAGTGTCCCTTTGAAAATACAAAATTACATGAGTGGAGGAACTAAATGTCAAGTATTTCAATAAAGGCTCATCCCACATAGTAAAAGCATCCACTTGTGGTTTTGATAGTTATGTTTTAAGGAAGGAGGAAAGGATGAAGAGCTGTGGCAATTTCCAAATCTTCACTTGCTGGCTCTGCTTATTCTTTAAGGGACTTTAAATCAGACATTCATGGTAAGTACCCATGGGGACAGAGCATTTTACTCCCTGGTTCTGAGGGATGTTTTCAGGGACTTACCTGGACCTATGTAGCCCTTCTGTCAGTTATAGTCCTGCTCTGTCCCAATTTTCCCACTGCCTGAACCCACTATCTTCTGGGTCTTGCTGACCTTAGCAGGACGCCTGTGAGAATTTAATAGAAGCTGTCCAAATCCTTCAAAAATTCAAAAGGGAAAGGGAAAAGAAAGATAAGAATAGGGTTCTATTTCTACAGAGCAGATCAGAGAGTGGTTTGTTTGCATCAACTTCCAAAACTGTGACTGGTGGTGTCGATTATCCTCCTTAAGGGAGACTCCTAAGGGTTTTCATTACAGATTGAACATAAAGAAAGTCTATTTACAGAAGGGTTTCTTTCTTGTTAACCATTTTTGGGGCTGACTCTGCAGAAGGACTGGGGCCCACTTTTGTGGCTCTCCATCACTTGAGGGAGCCTGCCATCTGCAGGGCTCTGCCTGGGTTCCTCATATGAAGCTGAAAGCTCAATGGAGTGCCAGAGGAAAGGAAACGTTTCAGCCCATCAGGCGAGGACTCTCCATCTGAGCCTCTCAAAAGGGAATGCCAAGGAAAGAGCTTCTGTGTTGTTACAGCTAACACCAGAGGGTTCAGGGCATTCACTGAAATAGAGAAGGCCTATTTTATCCTTTACTCTGCTTTTGAATCTAGGAGTCCCACATCCCAGAAATATGTCCACCAGGCTTAGCTATTACAGATAATAGATTACTTTTTTGTCATGATAGAAAATGAAGAATCCAGGGGGAAAAAAAAGTATGAAATGTCTGGTCTTCTTAGCAAATGTCAAGATTGTGCTTGAAAGTAGAAAGTGTTCTAACCAGAGATTTTTTAACAAAATATTTCCAACTTTGTGGAAAGAATGCTTCCCTCCCCACCCCTGACAGCATGAAGGCTAGTGATGGAAAATGTAGACCATGAGCTTCTGCCAGAAAACTCACAGATAACAGACACTGATAGAACTGAAACATTATGGTCCTCAAGTTATAAAGTACAGCAAGACTCAGTAATTTAACTAAGATCTCATAGAGGGTCTGTGGCAGACTCTGGAAAATTCTTGTGCCCAATTCTCTTCCAATGCTGCCAAGAGAAGGATGTGTATCACTTCACCATGGTATTGCTAAAAAAAAAAAAAAAAAAGATAGAACCTTGCAGTCATTTTTCCAAAGCACATCCTATTTTTTCTCTGTACTATTAGTTGACAAGTCTTAGCTCATGTGTTCATTGTCCACAGATTATTTCCAATTGGTGCAGCTAAATCTGCCTAACTCCTGCAGGTTCCCCAGAGCATTGTCTTTCCAGACCAACCACTCATTTACAATAAGACCCGTCTGTTGCTGGGCTCTGGAGCAGGTGTCACTAATTAGCACCTCCCCTCACAGGAGCATCAGTCCCCAAACTTACGTTTAGTTTAGGATGTGACTTGTAAGTCTTTATATTTGTATTTGTGTATTCTGTCTTTGGAACTGCAAGAAACAAGACAAATCCATCTGGCCCATGACTGTGAGATATCTTGACGCAAGTGGGGTTTGACCACAAGTGTTTTGTAGCCATTTGCTGGCAAACAGCAGTGAAGCTCCCCGGTGCCACCAGCAGCAGATGGCAGAGCCCTCTGGGAACCAGTGCCCACACGCTCATCTTGCTAAAGCCAACCCAAGCTTGGGCTGCCACAAAGTGCTTTCCAAAACTAACCCATGACTACACTGGTTCAAAAATACTGCCAGTCAGGACTTCTTCACTGGATTCAGAGGTACTGCACAGCCTCTATGCCTAGAGCCAGAGAGGAAGGGAGCTGGTTTTGCTGATTGTGGGTATCTTTGGATAAAAATATTTACCGCTACAAGATACAACCAGGTGTGCCCTTAAGTTAATTGCAGGCTTCTGTGGAATGGCTCAGTTTCTCACTAGTTCTTCTTATTGTAATAACATCCATCAGGCATGGGAAGATACCCCTGCCCATGGCACAGAAGCAAGAGAATGAGGGGGGAATTTGCCTCCAGTGTTCCCAGTATTCAGGAGTCATAGAAGTGGAGAGGAAGCCTTTTACAGAAAAAAAGTAGATATTTGGCAATAATAATTATCTAGAAGAATGTCTGCTGCTGTCAGCACACTGATTATGCCTGGGCTCACGGCTCCTTGGACCTGTTAGCAATGGCTCACCCCCTTTGCACAGTGAAGCCATAAATGAAGGTGTGTGAAAGCAGCACCTTGCCCCATTGCCACTGCAGAACAGACATCCTGCAATTAGTGCTTACAACCTGTTTCAGGAACTAACATTGCATAAGCAAGCCACAACCATTAAAAGGCCAAGGCTGCAACAAATTAATCTTTACAAACTTTACATGGGCTCTCTATTTCATACACCCTCTCAGTTTGCTGACTTCTCTCTGTATCTTTTGTGCTTGTAAAAGAGTGATATGTATGGCTGACAAAAATCACTGCAGAAAGGGTGTATATTACCAACCATGTTTTGCAAGGGAAAATTTCAAAGAAAAACACAGTAGGGATGTCTCTACTGAAACTCCCCTTACTTCATGAATCCTGGCTTTCCCTCTCCTGCATTTCTTTATTGCTTTATCTGACCCTTGACAGGTTTTGCTTTATGATGAAGTGTGGAAAGAGCTGCATTCCGGTTTCTTACATGTTAGCAGAAGCACAGCATTATCCTACTGAGATTCCTATAGTGTGACTTATGATTCACTCATGCAAACACAAGCAAAACTAAAAGTTATGAAAAACTAGTAGAGTCTTCTATTCATTGTCATTTCTTCCCAATAATTTTACCAAGACCCATGATCTTTTCCTCTCTTTCTCACAGTTAAACACCCGTATTGTGGCTGCTGTATTATATAATCAGTACTGAGAAGGTTTAATTACTTTTAGTCATTCAGGTTACTGAAAAAAAAAGGACATCCCAATTCTGAGTAAGTGTTCTATATTATAATTGTTAACATTTTGTCTGTAATACAAAAATAAAGATCGACAAAAGGGCTGTCAGTGATTTCATTCCATGTCACACAAGAAGCTCCTCTGTTAATTTCTCCTCCATGCCATGTAATTTGATACAGTCCTCAGGCTCCTAACAAGTTAGCAACACTGCCCTCATTAAGGAAAGTGAAGATATCACAAGGGAACTACAGTATTAAATGAATGTGTGTAACCTCATTTTTTAGAGCATCATATGATAGAGGAGCAGAAACCTACAGTTTTGAGGGGACTGTGGAAAACACCTCTGTCAGACGACATTTTGGGGAAGTACTTGCAATGCAAGTTGTTACTTCTTGATAATCTGCTTATGCTCCAAACATTATTCTTTTGTGCAGATTCTATTCCAAGTGGAAAACTCTCAGACTTGAACATCTTACACTGTGTATGAAAATTTTAAGGAGTTTTAATCAGAACAAACCCATTCAGAAACACTGAAGGATGTTCTCAGTGTGTTCCAGACAATTTTTCAATTGTAGTCTGGGAACCTACTTCAGACAGAAAGGTCAGGCTCTGAATGAAATCAAAGTATCTTGATCACATTTTCGGTTCCCTTTAGCCAACAAGCTGTAGATATGCATGGTCCTGATAAGATGTATCTCATTCCTTGTGTCTTCTTTTGGCTTTATCTACAGCTGGGATGGGATGTCCAGTTATATCATATACGAAACCCACAGTGGAACCCATGCTGTGCTAACAATTTCCTTCCACATGAATGGCTGGCCATGGCTACTTTGTTTTCATTATCACTCAGCTGAGGGAGGACAAATAATAAGAAAAAATTACCAGGGGTTATGACCAGGCATTAGGATTAGCAAGTTTGGGTATTCTTAATGAAGATCTTGTCTAAAATGTATTTTATATTTCATGTATCTCTCTTCCAAAAAATCTGGATGGCCCTTATTGGTATAAAATATAAAGGAATCATTTGATGACAGCATGTCATCACTTGCTCCTGTCTGCCAAATCTCATGGAGTCTGTTTATGTGCATGTTAGGCATTCATAAAACCCGCTCCTTTTCTGCAAGCTGGCAAAAGATATGAGTGCACTATTCAGAAGGCAGCCAGTGGCGAGCAGAAAGAGCAAATGTAATGTCATCCTCACATCTTTTAATTCATCTCAGTACACTGACCCAAGGCGCATCCCATCACACCTGCACTCTGTTGTGTGGGAGTGCCTCAAATGAAAGCAGTGTAATTTAGAGAGCAAATTAGTTAGGATTGCATAGAACCAACTGCAATGGAAAATCCCTAGAGGAGGGAGAGAATTTGCAAAAATGTTGGAAATTTGTTGTGCTGACAAAGATGGCTTTAGCAGTGGCAAAGAGGAAATGGGTAGGTCATAGATGGACTAATAATGCCATTTTCCTAGCTTTAGCTTCTTCTGCATGAGTGTCTAAAGGAGACAGTCCTTGTTTTTATAATACAAACTTCCTGTTCTCAAACACCCATACAGCTTTACCTGGGAGAGTCCTGGGAAGAAAAAGGATTATTGATGAATGTTACTTAGCTCTGATTAGTGAGGCACAGGGCGGAAGAAGGATAATGAGGGAGATACTGAGCACAAGCCATAAGCAGGCATCAAGGAACACAGAGTAGGCAACACGCTCTGTAATAATTAGGTGTAAAGGTCTATTTCCCAGAGACACAGAAGAGAAGTTCCCATCCTGAGACTGCAGTCCAGGCCTTTATGTCATTCACTACTAGTGCCAGGGCAG